TACTTCAACTGTAACTGCTTTCTCAAAGAAAAAAAAGCTACTTTGAATATTTTTATGGCAAATATGCAAATATGTTTGGCTCTAAAGAAAATTTGTAGAGTTGGGAATTTACCARAGCTGGAAATTTAAATATTTTGAACTTCAAAGGTCCTGTTACACTATAGTGTTTTAGACAGTTTCTGCTTACTTGTGAACATTTAGTTTGGAATATATTTTACTCCTATCAGCTACAGTTTATATTCGATCCAATCCAAAATAGGCTTATAGTACACTTTTTTTTAATTCCACCTTCAGCTTAGTGTTGGACAARCTTTTCATAAGATGGCATGAGTTGTCTAAAACAGTATAGTGTGACAGGGCCTTTAGAACAGATTGTGCGAGTTGTACACACCATCAAACAGCATCAAATTTCAACTTTTTAATACTCCAAATGATTTGGCACAAGAACTGAGAAGTTTGCAAGGATTTTTTAAAATTAACCACAAAATCGTTGTGCTCTAAAAGAAAATGYGCAGCACCAAAGACACAATCTGGATGCACAGTACCTGCTCGACAGGATCAAACACGCGTAATCATGGCCATGAACTATAAAGATAGGAAAAGCAATCATGATAGCCTTGAATGCTGATAACAATGATAAAGACGGTGGTGCATTGTACTTTTGCTTGTTGCTGAGTGTTAGTATTGGGAATTCAAAGGAAAGGACCAATCACTAGTTCTGGTAAAGGGGTTTAGAGGCTACATTGTATGCTTTAGGTTATGCTGAATCACAACACTAAATGCACTTTTACATAGCAAAGCAAAACCTGTAGATAAAATGTGCAGGGTAATCATCATTTTTGTCTGAAGATTGTTTTCTGACTAATGCTTTTTTTAAAGCCTGCTCCACTGTAAGAAACTTCATGGAGTGAAGAACAAGCACGTGTTAAACAGAAATGCACCAGATGCACCCACACCTACAGTATATGTTGAAGTGAGACCTCTTCTTTGTGTAACAAGGTGGGAAGCACCCGGATTGTGACCTGGAGGACGTGACTCTAGGGTCAACTGGTAGATTACTGGCAGACACAAGATTTGAACCATTTGGAGGTTGGGTGAATATGTGGTAAATGGTCACCGTAATTTGTTCTTTTGTAATGACAACAGAATTTGCACCTAAATTTCTATTTTTTTGTCAGTCTGATGACATCATTTTAAAATATGAAAAAAAAGATGTGACAAGCAGTTACTCAGTACTCGAGTAGCCTCTTTATGAATTACATTTTTCCTTAAGTACATTCTTGGAAGGTTAATTTTTACTTAAGTAAAAGCAGCACTATCCATCCATTCATTATCTATACCCACTTTTTCCTTTTAGGGTCACGGGGACTGGCGTCCATATCCAGCAGTCACAGTGCGAGGGGCGGGGTACACCCTGGACAGGTCGCAAGTCCATCACAGGGCCACACATAGTTCATCATATTTTTACTTGAGTATATTGGGAAAACCCTGGGCGTAATTTTTTTTTTAATTTTACACAATAATTTGATCCAGTCAATGTAACAACCCCCAATAAAGTTATATAATTTGCTCTAACACACTAGATATTAACTAGTTAAGTACACAGCTGTACGTTTCTTATCATCTTTATGTAACTTTGACCAGATTACAAAATTTACAAGGTCATACATGTTAGCATAACTGCTGAAAATGACATGCAGGGCTTTAAGTCTGACCTTGTCACATTATGGATGTATTTTTTTTTTGAACCGTGTTGTAATTTTTCCTAGTCAAGCAGTGCTCTAGGTAAATGCATACTATAGGAAAATTGAGAACTTTAGGTATGTCTTATAATACATTCTAAAAATGTAAAATATGTATTACTGTTGGAGAAGGTGGGCATTTTCTTATTGTTGAACTGACATATAACAGAAAAGGTGCAGGGTAAATGTAAAAAAATAAAAATAAAAGGAAAGTCAAGTAAATCACACTAAAATAATTGCAATGTATTTTAACCCCAAAATATCCTGATTCATTTTACAAAAGTAAGTAATTAATGGTAGGCCTAAAGACACACCATTGGTGTAACCTACTCCACTTTGTCCACAGCAAATAAAAACAGAATTGGGCATAAAGCAGTTTGTAAGCCTAAATGTGTCAAAGGTAATTATTGATCCATATAACTGTAACATTAAAAAAAATCTATTGGTAATTTCATTTATTTTCTTTAGACTACAAACCTAAAATGCTGTTGACTATATCCGACTGAAAATTACATTTATTCAAGTATTCAGTTTCACTTTTTATTTACATTCTTTTTTGAAAAAACCTTTTGTGTGTAAAATGTGACCAGCCAGTTTCATTTTCATAGCTATTTGTTTCCACTATTGATCCTTGCGTGAGAGCTCAAGTACAAAGTCTGGCAGATAATAGTAGGAGGAAATAATCTTCAACAAAGCATCATGGAAACAAACACTGGAATGGAAACCTAATACCTGCAAACACCTGTTTTCTTTTATTTCTGCAACACAAAGCAGGAATAATGAGAGGGCAACAACCACATTATTTCAAGGATTTTCAGTGTTGCTTTGTAACGTTACCTCTGAGGCGGAGATGTTGAACACCTCTGCAATCTTGGCATACAGCTCCTTGACGTTGGTGAATCCATGGATGCGCCCCGTCGGGCTCCCATGAGCCAGCTGGGTGTGGAAGATGAGCCTCGGTCTTGGGTATTCTGGTGGATCCGTCGGTGGAGGTGAAGGTGGCGGAAGCGGAGGAGCTGTGGGCTCCGGACACCCCTGATTCTGGGCCTTCTGGTCCTCCATGGCCTTGACCACTACTGCCTTGGACTCCTACGCGCTCATAAGCTCGCCGCTCTGCATCGGCCTCCGCTCAGGTATTGGTGATCAACTGTAGCAGAAGAAAAAAATTAATAAAACAGTCCTTCCCCACCTTTTTAGCCCATGAAACGTCCAACCAACCACCTAAAAGCTCTGGAGTGAGGGACACAGATAAATAAGTTATGAGTGTAACCCAGTACAAGTCGCCCTACCAGGTAGAAACCCAATACACGTTGACTATATTTGTTACACCTGAGCCTTTAGCAGCTCACGGACAGAGAGCACAAATAAAAGCACACCGGGTAAAAGGTTTTCAATACATGACACGGGTAAACTTCTAGTCCTTCATACCAGCTGAGCAACATGACATGGGACAAACCTCCATCACCCTCAACGTGTGAACAGCCCTCTAAAGTATGAAAATGTCCAGCATATCTGCAAAATGATTCCTACTCTGGGAACCGACAATGTTCCAGTGTTGCCGGTAAGATGATCTTACTGGGTAGGCAGTAAGATGGGGCTGCCTGCTGGCACTGCTGCGGTAAATTCTTGTTGATGTGCTGACCTTTTTACCCTCAACCTACAGGTCCACAAAATAAAGAGAAATAACCCTTTATGTGGATTTTTTATACTGTCTGCTTATTAATTTTTTTTCCCGTATTACAAAGCAGCATCTGATGTTGAAATTGGTTTTGAAAATATGATAATCTGAAAAATTAATGAGATGAAAGGCAGCTTGAAAAGGGGATTTACCTCATGGTCAGGACATCAGAAAACAAGTTGTGCTTTGTTGGCTGCCTCAAAGACTTTATCACTTTATATTTTTCACTCTGTCATGACGTTAATTTGTCCTTGACAGTGTGTTCATCATTAAATGTCAGGTACAAGCTATGATAACAAGAGAAACATTCATGACAGGACACAACAAGACACTGACGTTCTGCCTTTTTGAATTCGGAAATTCCACAAAAAATCCCAAACTTGCCAACAATGYGTCACCAGTTGTGTGGCCGCTGCAGTCAGATGATTCCGCTTGTAGCCGACTGATTTGGAAGTCCTGATGATGCACTTTTCTCATGGTTAAATAATCTTGCGTGCAATCGGTTTTTGAAACATTTTGTTAGGATGTCCTGCATGTACAGCATTTATCTCAGCTCCATTTGTTAAGCGTGTTTGAATGTTTCACCACAAGATAAAAACAACATATTTTTTCCAGGGTAGAGTGCAACCTCTGTTCTTTTTCAGTTCGCTTCATCAGCGTGACCGTGCACCTGTGATACGAAAGGGCACGGCTGCAGCTGAGTGTTCGTCACAAGCTTTGCAGGCCAAGGCGTTGCTCGCCCGCCAAGGTCCTCCAAGTAAACCATGCAGCGTTTTTCTTACGTTTTCTCTTCTTCCCTTTTTTTTTAATCGTAATTACAGGCACAATCAAAGAAACATGAACCAATGTGTTCTAGCAGATCCACAAGTTCTAGATGGGAAATTGTTTTAACAGCTATATTTTCAGTCATATAAGCTGTGATAAAACTAGTTGTACAAGAGGCCAATGAACCTACCGCACACATTCATGTTCACTGCTTGTAAAAAAGCAAGGGAACTTTATTTGGATTTTTTTTAAAAGTAGGCAGCAAAAGTCAAGAATAAAAACACATGTAAGACTCTCATTTTCATACAACAGCTAAATTTAAGTGCAAAAGAGTGTGCTGACTGAATCAAAGGATTTTGTGTTTGCAAAAGCAAATGTTGTGGTTCTTTTGTCCTGAAACTCTCAGCTCATAGGCTGTTGAGAGATGGGATGTGTTTTTTTTTTTCACTGTTGCCAAAGTGGTTTGCAAATATTGACTGAACCGATGGCGAATAGATTGCACTCAGTCGGTCAATATTAGCAAAAAGTGTGGTCTGGATTTCACTATTTGTCATACAATACAATTGTTTTATTTTACGTTTKAATGTTGCCATCTAACTTTTTTATTCACTCGTCATTCTCCCTTTTAATCGGATTCAAGATGGCTACCACAGCCAACTGACCTAAAAACAAATAAATAAAAATTACGATAACTCATTTCATTTAACAGATACAGTGCTAAAATTTGATGTGGCAGTAGCTGAGCATCTGTCCCAACATACAAGCTTAACAAGACATCTCACTGTGTTACAAGAAATTTTTTTTAAATATTTTTTTCACAGCAAAAAAAACAAACATTGAAATTAAACAAAAAAAAAAGTCCATAATGTTCCCATCTGGTGTACAGTTTCATTCATCCATTATCTTAACAGAGTCAAATACTAGGCCAAATTGTATAGGCTGCATATAAATCACAATTAAATATAAAGTGTTTTTCCTGRGTATTCTCTAACAATACATTGTATTTGTTTCCATTTCAACCTTCCTCATAAAATACTTCCCTACTATCAGAAGAGGAAGGATATAATCAGCTGCCACGTTGTTCCATTCAGTAATCAGTGTAGARTCACATTCTAAAATATTTTCTTCACAGTAGTAATAAAACTTTAGATAAAGGTTATTACTGGCAAGAACGCAGTTTGCCTTTGACATCCCAAGTCATTATGATCATTCATGGAATATAATGTGTAAGATATAAAGGYTGATGTTTCAAATATATACATATATAAAAACTTATGATTATGATTTATGAAATTACATCAAACATTTGGGTGGGTTGGGTAGGTGGGCTACTGTGATGTCTTTGGGTAATTTCTCTTTTGTGAGCAAATAATAATGAGTGTTMATCCACGTCAGTGATTCAGCACAGAAAAGCCTATAGCTGCCTGTGCAGCACCTACGCCACTTTTGTTGCGTTACACACTTCCTCACGATGCGTGATTTCCTTTTTAGTATCTGCCTTGCTTCCAGGCAGCGAGGGCGTCAGGGAAGTCTGACGGGCAGGCTGGCTATTGTAAAGGCCAGATTGTGTGAGGGWGTTGTGTTTGCCGCGTCATGTGGTAATACACTGCCTCTTCTGTTTCTGGTGGCGTGGTAGTGACTGAACTGCCTGGTGAGGAGGAGGGAAATAACAACAACAACAACAACAACAAAAAAAAGCTTTCAAAGCTGATGTTTGTGCACCTTTCTATAAACTGTTACCTGATAAGAATTTTGTTTTACGTGTTCAAGGTCATTGTCGATATGTTATCATTTTTTCATCAGTTTTAACTGCAACAAATCAATCAAGTTAGAATGAGCTGAAAATGTGTAAACATTTAAATCACATTTAAATATATTCTTTATTCTTTTAGTGGAAGGCGTTTCCTCATAACTTTCAGGCAGAGGCCAAAGTTCAGGGTCAGCCTCTGTAAACACTTCCTCACACTTCTCAAGGCTACTTTAAATAACTACAGTATCAGATAATGCAAGTAAGGTAAAAACAGAGTACCTATTYGCCATTTGCATCTTATACAATTTAAAAGATAAAATGGCCATTCAGTGCGATGGCACTGTGATTTAGCTTCCAGCATAATGTTTGGCCCTATGGCCTTGAATTGCTGATTATAGTCCTACAATAGATAAGAGTCAATGCCATTTGTTCATTRAGGTGTTGCATTTCCCCCCTTTTCAAAATAAGAGGTCTTGCATTAAAATTTTGTAACAGGGTGTGGTGGTGGAGTATTGAAAAATAGTCATGGACACATGGCCTTCTTTCCACACTAATGAGTCATTTATGTCTCTGTATATACATCATGGGATTATAATGCAGTACTGCATTTTTACATTTTAAATTTAAAAACATTGACTTCCAGCGATCGTTTTAACCATTATTACTGATATACGGAAATAAATGTCTTAAAATATAGCTGTATTTAAATTAAACTATTCAACAGAATTGTACTGTTTTCTGTTGCTTTGCTTTTAGACATTGGGACTAAACACAAACACCTTCACCCAACAAAATATCTGCATAACTAGCAGGCAGGCCCCACCCTGGTATTTGACTACTTAGTGTTTTTGGTATATAGTTTAGGTTTACCTAGTGTGGAACATCAAACAATATACGTGTTTTATCTCTTCTCGTGTTTAAATAAACTTTCTTTTGAAAATTTTTTTGATTAAAAAGACAAACACACGTGAAATAGTATCAGGCCTTGTATAAATTAAGGCAGTGACCGCCCATTTACCATATAAGGCAGATGGGCGGTCAGCTTAGGCCAACTACCTCATTCTGATTGGATAACACATCTGACATGACCGTTTTTTCATAGGCCTTCGACGATTCTGATTGGTCTTCTGACTTGGTCCGATTTGAGCTCATTATCCTAATCAGCCGTGGGGAGAAAGGGCGAAAAGAACTAGAAGCCAAACAAGAACGGTGGAGTTTGGCGTGGAGAGTCGTTTCTACACGAATCGACCACTACTGGYTTAGGGAAGAATGCTTGAAAATAAAAAAGATAGGTTAAAAACCTTTCTCAGGAAGATCGACGAGAAGGCCATCGTGAGAATAAAGCACTTCATGAAGGAGAGGTGAGTGGATTGAATGTGGCTAAGCTCGACCGCTAGCTTCCGCCGGCTGCTGTAGAGCATCGTTTTGGACACTAACTTATTTGGTTTATCTGTTTCTTTGCTGACAACAGTCGTACAGAAAGGAATATCGTTGTAATGATAAAGTACAGTTGAAAACAGCCGTGTGAAATTAACAGAGCACAGTCAGTCTGTGGTACAAACCGCTAGCATGCTAACTAGCCGCTAAGAGGATGTGCTCAGCTGACATTTAAATAAAGATTTCAGACTCGGTTTGCTAACTGTATGTTTATGTTGATAGAAAACGAACTTATTAAAGTAAATTACTGAAATACGTTTAGCTGTGTTATATATCATGAAATGTGGCAAATGAGAGCATGTTTTACTATTTATATTAGCAAAATACTGGAATTAATCTCTGTTCTGACTTAATGACTCATACGTATTCAGGCATTTGAAGAGATCTGACCCAATTTTACAACTTAACAAAAACAAAATTAAATTAAATAAAGGCCTGGAACCCTTTTAGTATACATTATAGTCAGTTTGTAAATATATCTTAGCTGGATGATGTGTTTATGGAAAAAAAAAACATAATCATAAGCTTTTTGTGACAATACAAACATTTATTATCTTGTTTAATTTCTAAC